ATTGGGCATATGCCCAATGTGTAACAAGCACTCGAAGAACTGGGAGAAACACAAGTCTTGAGTAGTTAGTCATGAATGGCCCCCGAAGAATAGGACGGGTTTATTACTTCCCTACAAATTAACATGGAAGCCAAAAGGGAGTTTCCTCTATACAAAGTGGGATGGAATCCAAAAAGGACCCAACATAAGTGTCCTCTACAAATGGGTGGGCTTTTTTTCTGTGAATCTGTAGGCTAATCTTCCCGTTACAGTGTTGGTTCCTTTCGACCAACTTAACGACAAACGGCGATGGCTTTTGGTGTTGAAACGGAAGGGGGCCCTTTCAAACAACCTCAAAAGGGTGCCCTACAAAAGCAAAGCACACACCGGGTGTTGCTGCTTGTTTGTGAGTACCTCCTTTTGCTTGGCTGCTTGGTTTTAAAGGGATGCCAAAAAGAAGGCACCTATGTTGGGGGGGCCAACCTTAAAAGAAAAGACACACCAAAATCTGTGTACCGGGATCCGGCTGACTTCAAGCCAAATGGGGCAAGTTATGGGTGTTTTGGTGTTTCCCAGCCAGTAATTTGTTGGGTTCAGTTAGACTGGCTCTTAGGCTTTTTTGTCCCTCGAGTTTGAGGGATTGGCATAGACTGCCAGAGGCGGGGCTTGTAGCGTTCGTCATCAACGAGTGGAGTTATGACTGCATAGGCCCCCACGGACCCTGGCAAGAATTCATATTCAGTTACCCCAGGCACGGCAACCAGGATGTTTACCTTCGGCTTCGCCATGGATTGTTCCCTTGAATTCACAATGAATTGTTTTGATTAGAAGCATAATTGACTATGCATGTACCTTACTTCCTGAACAACCACAAGGTATACGTACGCTGTATACATCCCAATCCCATTAGACGTGCGATGACAAAGCTGAGATCCACTTAGATCCACGGTGCTCCCAGCATTCCCCCGGCGGATTCGAACCGCGCCAGGACCTTCGCGGCTTTGACCACGGCGCAGACTCCTCGCAGAAGGTCGGGGTCAAAACACGCAAGCCTTCGGGTTTGGGAAGATTGCTTTGGGATGGCGTTTCAAGTTGCACGCACTTAGCCTTTGTTGTTGTCGTTGTTTGCTTTTTTGTTTGTTAGGCTGTCTGTCTGTCTGTGTGCTCTTGTTTGTTTGAGCGCAACAAGCGACCCTGTCCCTGGCACCCCTTCCCCCAGGTGCTCTTCGTGGAGGGCTTCTCAGAGGCGCGTTGGAAGCTCGTCGGGCAGCGCGTCGGCTTTTTGGGGAGTTGATACCCCCAGGTTTTCGCGGCGATAGAAGGGGAACCTTCAAGAGGGACACCGAGGCCCGTGTTTTTTCTTTTTTTTTTTTGGGGGGGGGTTCCCCTAAAAAGTTTGTTTTTTAGGGGGGTTCCGAACCCTAAAAACCAGCCCAAAAAAAGCAAAACCATCCAAATGGAGCGCCTCAACGTTGTAGTTGTCCTTTTGGGTTTCCCTTTAAAGGTGAAGGATACCAGACGGAACCACCTCGAAAGTTGTGGACACGAATCCCCACAAATGATCTCTCCAAAGGGTGCCTATATAAAATCCATGCCCGTGTTGTATGCAGTTTTTGTAAATTGATGTGAATCTGCAGAGTAGTCTCAACTTCAGATTAGTCCGGAGAACCCTAATACAGTCGTAAAAACAGCATTCCCCACTAGCAAGCGGGGCGGGTTCCGCATCCGGCCGTCGATCTCCTTGTATTTCATCCAGATCGCCGCAAGAACTGGATATCCAAGGCCCAGCATGGCTCACTTTCTTCAACGGATTGTCTATTGTCAAGGGTCTGCAAAGGAAAACAACATGTTCACCACCTGCGTTTCGGTGTTGCATGAGACACGCCCTTTGCTCTCTTCCAAGTCTGGCGACCGAGATGCGCGGTGGTTTTCACCGGGTTGACAACCCACAGGGCCATGCCAGCTCAAACGTCTCACAGATCGAGCGCTCTTGAGGTTTCAAAGCGTCGTCCAAAATGAGACTTTGTCGTGCCTGCCAGGAAACACCGACGTTGTTAGATCCTCTACAAACGCACCAACGTCCACGGAACACGCCAGCGAGAACGTCGATCGAACCGCCTCAAAATCAACAAGGGGAAATGCCAGAGCAAACTTTTGCGAGCCTGCACACTCGAAAGAGCGAGACGGGCGCCGGCGCCATGATCTAGACACCATGCAGGCGTTGCAGTCACCGTTAGAAACTGTTTGCAGACTAAAAGAGACTAACACCCCGGTGAACCAAACTTAATGTGTCAAACCACTCGCACCAATACTTTCACACAGTCCTTTCCGACGCACCTTGCGGCTTTCAGCGGTCAGGTGAGCAACCCTTGATCGGATAGCAGGGCAGCTCAGGTCCCGGGGAGCTATGATTCCAACGGCCGAAACGGTGTTTCATGGTTTCGGCTTGGGTGCCCTTCGAATCGATGCAGCGAACAATTGGCTCCCTTGAACATGTTTCTGTTGCTTGGTGTACCTTTTCTCGAGCGTGCACGCGACTCGGCGGCGGAAAGGCCGGTCTTGTTTGTCGCGTGGGCTCTGAACCACTCAAAGTGAACCCAGGGTGAGCATGATTTCCATCGTGTACAACCACACAGATGGGTGAACCACATGTAAGTGTCAACTGATATCTTGCGTGTCCAACATCAAACCTTGAGACTGTCCCTTACATCCCATGTTTCTTGACGTCATGCCTTTCTGGGCCAGGGTGGTCTGACACACAAGAGGTGCTGGACTTCTTGTTTGGGGAACAAATTGTTCAAGTGGAGAAAAACAGATACTGGTTCACGCCTTAAAGCAATTTTTGAAAGCATGCCGTTTTGTCCGAATCCGCTTGGGAAGTAAGTGTCAACGTGTCCCCCCATGTCGAGCAGAGTACACCAATATGCGCTTGCGATCTGCCCATATAGGCCAGGCGAAGGTTATACCCCCCAAACAACACCCCACAAGAGGAGGTTCACCTCCAAAATGGCGGGTTGTCTGCATTCCGTGTTGGTTTTCCGGTGGACGAGTTGTGTGTGAGCTGTGTGCGGCCCATTTTGCCAGTCCAAAGTCGCTTGGTCGGGGGCCAGCCTTGAGGTCGAAAGCAAGCAGTTCTTTTCGATGCCGAAGCTCATGAGAGGCTTCCATCTGCTCTGCTCGCCAAAAAGCGCCATGGTCTGGCAGGGCCCCTTAAAAGATACATTTTGCCCATTTGAAACATGGCTTTTTCCACCAAAATAAAACCATTTACAAGGCAATGTTCAAGTGTACAATGTAAGGATCCCTGTCTGGTCTGATGTTTGCACACCCACGACTTCATGGGGTCTTGAGCCCTGAAACCCAGGCATTGATTGCCCTTCAGCTTAGGGACTGGGGATACAAACAGGCGGTAGTCAAAGCTGCAATTGGGATGAACGTCCTAAGTGTTTCCCGTTGCCCCTGTGGTTAAACGGAAGCCTACAGGTAAACATCCTGGTTAGATCCACTGGGCTAGCCTGCAGGTTTGCAACTAAGACCTTTGGTCGAACAATTCCTTTCGCGGGGTGTTTTGAGGCGCATTCGGTTTTGGTTTCAACAAATTATCTGGTTTTCCGGGTTGTTCTGGAGGTGCATATACCAACCATGGGCTTATATTATGGTTGTGGTTTCTCACATCGCAGAAACCTATTTACCTTTGAGGCTTCTCGTGTGGGACCTCTCAAACAACATGGTTTTACGTGTCTAAGGTTCACCAAATATGGACAATCGTCTCCACGTACGTATTCCTTTTGTTGTGGCAAAAGCTGAGATGGTTGAAAGAACAGCGTGCCCCTTTTAACACAGCGGTTGCTCTGTCCTTGACAAGATGTTTCTAGTTGCTTTAGCTTTAGGTTCTGTTCATGTTGAGCGTTTGGCGGCCACGAAACTGTTTGGCTCACATGCCAAGGAGGGGAAAGGTGCTTGATCCTACGTACGCGTTTTCACATGGCGAAGGCATGAAGAGCCCAACGTGCTGTTCAAAACACAAAAGGGAGAAGAGGGGTTGCAGCAGGATGGGATTCATATTGTCAACCCAGAGTAGTACGCCTGCTCGATTTTGATCGGGGGGTTCACCTTTTCTGATTATAAACACCCCCTTTTGATAAATCCGGGGTCAACATTATCCGCATGTGTCCACTTCCCAGGCCTTCCCCCCCCCCAGTCCGCGATCGCAAATCCGCCGACAGTTTGACGTAGTTGGCGCAACTCTGGCAAGCCCTTTTTCCATCGAAACACCCGAGCCGTGTGCTGGCCGGACTTCTAACATTCCAAAGGCCGGGAATCAAACACCTCAAACTTACATATTGACCATGCTGTGTGTGGACGAAATCATCTAAATTATGCACCACTTTGAATCCATGAGAAACCACTGTTGGCTGGTATTTACAGGGGAATCATCATTCCAGGGTTTCTTACGTGGTGCGAAATGGATTTCGTCCATCCACAGTATTGAAACGCAGCAGGGTACAGATATGATTTGGATAAGTTTGATTTGGCCGTGAAGTTTGCAGATCTTTCCTTTTTTTCGCGCGGGAGCAAGGGCTATGCGTGTATCAGGCATGTCCATACTCGAAGGCCTCCCAGAGACACAACGTACCTCTCAGAGATCGATCCATTGGTTTGGCCGACGCTTTTGGGCTTTCCTGTCTCCCCTCTTCCCCTTGTTTTCTAGTTGTGAAGATCTGCCTATATCCGCCATAAATCGCCAGATGTGGCAAATGTCATGACGCGTGCTGCCTGCAGAAAGTGGCTCATGCAGTCCGAAATCGCCAAGTGAGCTGTCCTTGGCTTGTAGACCTGCGTTCGGTGTTGAGTACATTGGACAGTATGTTGTTTGTTTATAACGGAGAGATCAATGGCTTTTGACCAACAAGACCACCTCTGATTTTAGTTTTGACATGCCCAATGTTGGTTTTACAAGTGATATCAGACAACAACAAGAGATTGGCACTGGCCCACACCTTTCGACAGCGGATGCAACAGCAGACGCCCAGACCACCAGTCGGCCAGATGTGGCCCTGATGAGACCAACTTGCCCCTAGGGCATGGTTTCAGAGAGCAGAGCCCTGCGCAGGTGGGAGGGGGAGGGGGTGGGGTGGTGGGCTGGTGGGCTGGTGGGCTGGGCGTGCTGGGGGGGGCTGGGTTATTTCATTTGGGCAATAGGGAGCCCTGTGAAAGGCAATCTGGTTGAGACAAAATCGCTGAAGCGACCAGAAGAGGATGGGCCCTTGTTTCTCCTGACCATCTATTTCACAGCACAGTGATCCTGGGTGGTCAACCAACTTGATCCGTAGGTGACTTCACCATTTGTTTTTTTGTTTATCATTTTCTATTCTACATGGTTACCTGGTCACCTGGTCACCCTGTTCCCTAGTCACAACTATAGTACCTGTGAAGTACCTGGATACCTTTTGACCTACATAGGTCCTTGCCAGTTGTAACCATACCTGACTTTGGGTATCCAAGTTGGCGGCCGACAGGAGAGAGACGCGCCATGGACGTTTCAACGCCTCCGCCTCGGGGAGACTTGACGAGGAGAGAACCTGCTGAATATCCCGTGTAAAGCGCACAAGGGTTGCGTTGTTCATCGCTTCTGAGGGGTCCTAGAAGCTCAGTGGGCCTAGGGTTGGAGGTCTTGGGGGGAAGTCAAAGGTGCTTAGAATATATGGGGTCAACGGGGCTAGGGAGCAGAGAAGCAACGCAGCGACTGAGAACGGCAAGGATGAAAGGTGTTGGGAGGAAAGAAGACTCGAGCATGACTTGGAATCTGCCTCTATTCCCGCTTCCCAGTTCCCAGTCCCTGTTTCATTGAATGAACATGGGGACACCCTCTTGTTTCCAACTTTGCTTTCAACCAGTTCCGGCACTCAAGAAAAAACCTGAGAAGTGATACTATAGTATTTTGTATTGTCAGCACCTCATCCATGACTCATGTGTTGTGTTATCAAGTAATCGCAATTCACCCTGTTTCAATTTGACCCGATAAACTATTTCTTGATTATTTTGTTTAAGCGAAAATCCCCTTTGAAGAGGGCCCGATTCTTGTAGCGAACCCCCTGAGTCTGGATAGATTACAAAGAGCTCAGGAGGTGAAATTGAGCCCACCCATTTTGAAGAAGATGTCTTGCCTGTGGATTCCTCATTTCAGCTTCACGAACATTGCCGGACTTAACTTACATTTTTTGATCCGCATTTACCAGAAATCAAGGACACGTTCAGGTATGGGTTTTGGAGGTATGGATGCTTCTTTACCAGGGCGGCATATAGGCCCTTATACAAGTGGCATATAATCTCCATAGCTCCAACACCCTACCTGAAATGAGTCACAATCGACACCCGGGCAAGTGAAGGTTAGTAAGGGACAATCGCCATAAATAGCTGCGGATATCCGCCTTAATTCTTGAAGCATGGTTTTGGGATTACGACCATTTGGAAGTACCGGGTTTTGGTTTTGACTCAATCGTCCTTGAACCACCAGAACTCTTTCGGTATCCGGTTTGAAGCCGAGGCCGCGGTTGTTGTCCTCTCTCAGCGCTCCGATGCTGCACGCGTGGGGGACCCAAGAGCCGAGCGACGAGACGAGGCTTGAACTATTGAAGTGCGGTTGTGGTGGAATGGGGAACCCTCAAAATGCTTGGCTTCCTTTTGGTTTCCTTTTGGCTTCCCTTTCAAACCACCCCAAAAGGCGTTAAAAGCAGAATAAGGCCCTTATAGCAGCCTCCCACAATGTGAACCTGTGTACATAGCACCCCGGTCCAACCGCATGCCGCAGCGCTTCCTTCGGATTCCTTAGGCAAGCGCATGGCAAGCTGGACGCAGGCCTGGAAACGGATGCGGTGTGCCACGCGTCAACTGAAAGGCGAATCGAGGCTTCGAAGCTTTCTTCCGTTTGCGTTGCAGAATGTGTTTTTGATTGCTTTTGTTTGGTGGTTTTAAAGGAAGTCCTATCACTATTGGACATATTGCGATTTCTTCCAGGGGACTTAAGCAAATGGAGATGTTGGTCTCAGGGGATCACCTTTTATTCGCCCAGGTCCCTAAGCGGCAACTGAGTCAAAAGACCGGTGTCTTTGCTTGGGGTCAGCAAAAATTGTCTTCCATATGGTAGTGAGGGTCCTTGAGAACCATAGTCATGATTGCTGTTAAGAGAACCGAAGGACTTACCAACCTTGATTGGTACACTACCATGGTTGTCAAGGGTTCGCATCCAAGGAACCATGGTTATGATTGACCATAGGCCATATACGGACTTTTGGTCATGGCTCAGTTGATTAATAGGGGTTCTATTGGGGAACACTCGAACAGTCAAACATGTTGATGATTTCGGGGCCGGCATTTCCGGGAAGTAAAGGAGTTCGGGGGGACCAGGGGCAACTTCAGGAAAAAGGTGCATAGCAAGTTGGAAGCCCCGTCATTCACAGGCTTTTGTCAAACGCAAGTGTGTGGTTGGATGTGGTTGGAACAAAAGCTCGCAGTAAAGAACATCTGCGCAGACTACTTTTTTAGGGGAGCCGTTCCATCTTGCACACCTCAAAGGCCGGTCCACCTACCCCGACTTCCTTGGCCTCAGGTCTGAAGGGTCCAACTTTGGACATGGACTCAAGAACTTGAACCTCATCACCCAGCCACGGGGTTGCCCTATTCGAGACACAGGAGAGTACCCGTTTGGAGATCGAAAGGGTGTTCTCCCGAAGCAGATCTGCTATTGCGCTTCTGGAATTTGGTTTATATATTTCTCCCGGTGGTTGAAGAAGGATCTATCACTGGACATGGTTTCCATCATTTCTTCAAGGACTCAAGCGCGACTTGGGTACTCTCGGGGCCTGGCCAAGCTGGTCTTTGGGACAGCTTTTGGCTGGACAGGTTCCCAAGACAATCCCCAATGAAATTCACACCCAGATAGGTGTGACTGTTTTGGATTTGATACCCCCCTTTTTCGCGGTTGGAAAGGGAGAAATGGAAAACCGAAGCTAGTTTGGGGGGTTCCCTTTAAAAACACACACACCCACACACACACACAGACGCACAGACGCACAGACGCACAGACGCACACGCGCATGGGGTCATGTAGGGAGGTTTGACTCGACCGGAGCTGGAAGAAACACCTTTGATCCCTCTAGGCCTTGGCCTCGGAACTCCCTCCGGCGGTGTCGGGGACCTGAGGAATTCGCCCACTTCGCGCGTCGATGTGGCCGTGGTTGTCAAAACCAATGCTGCCATTTTAGTCTATTTTAGTAGGGATTGGGATGTTCACAGGGGGCACGGTTTGGCTTTTGACGCATGGCCATGTGTGTGCTTTTGTAAACTGCCTGTGTGTTTAAGGGTATATTTTGGAGGGTCCCCCTATTTTGACACATGCCTAGTTGGGCGTGTTTTGTGAGTTCGGGTTCCTTCCGGGTGGCGTAGAAGGGAAACCAACGCGAGAGAGAAGCCTAGATTGGTGCTGCGGGTTTCCTTATTTGGAGACAAACCCATTGGAGTCGATTATTTTTGCTCATGATTGAAGAGCGTTCACATGCATGTATGTAGCAGCATATTATATACCTAGGTAATCCCTGGGCATTTTGTGTTCTTGTTTCAGATTTTGAGCGGAAAAACAAGAAATGAGCGAATTGTTGGTGTCATCGGTGCTGCCGTTGCTTTGCAGAGGTTCCGACCTCCCATTCCCAAATTGCACAGTTTGTCCCTTGTGTGTTATGTCGTATCCTACTCATCAAAGCAAAAACCATGACCGACCAATGAAGTTTTTTCCTTTTTGGCGTGAAGGTCTGACCACCGGAGAACAAAACAAGAAAGCTGGAGCCGCCCAGCGGTGGGGCTGAGCACTGCGGCTCGTGAGCACCAAAGTAACAATGGTGGACACGTGGTTCTTGTTTCATCCACCTTCAAGGTATTTGCTTTTAACAGTTTGTTTAGGGCTAGGGTTGCAACCACCTTGTTTAGGGTATGTCTTTTGTTGCTTTGGGCTTGCAAGTGGGCATCACTCTGAGGAAAGCCTGGCCCAAACACAAATCCAAAGAGTGGCTGGCAGCCTTGCTGGGCTTGTTTCTGCTCATTTCAGGTGGCTGGCCGCACTTATTGCAGGTGGTGTTTTAGAGGTTGCTTCCCCATTCTTTTCAACCATCGTTGCTTTCAAAAGCCAGCTGCTTTCCCGGGTTTCTGGAGGTTTCTAGAAAGAAGGTTTCTGGCTAAAATTGGGGAAGGTACCCCTAGAGGAGTGCTCCTTTCTTCACTCTTGCTTCCTTTCTTGAGACAACTTGCAGCTAAAGCATTACCTGTTCCAGCCACCCCAGAAAGGGTTCTAATTGTACCAATTCATTTATACTCACCTGCATTTCCACCAACCCAACCCCCACTGAACTCCACCCAACTCAACCCACCTCCCAACCCAGCCCAATTTTTACCAACCGACCCCAACCCCATTTTCCAACACAGGACTCTCGTGCTTGCCCACCCGCAACTGCTTCGAGCCTGCGCTTCGCTTCGCGCAGACCACGCCTGGCGCCGTGTCCAGCGCGACGACGGTGCCGTCGCCCGATGGCTCGGCCTGCGGCGCGCGGCGGGCCGTGCGCGATGTTTGCGCAGATTTGGCTCCGTACAGATCATCGCCTTCTAAAGAGGCGGCGGAACCATCTCCTTACAAAAGGGGGAGACTCCAACCAACAGTGATCATCATTATTAAAGGGGGAGAACCACATAATGTTGGCCCTCAACAAACAGTGATCATCATCTTATTAAAAGAGGGGGGGAACCACGTAATGTTGGCCCCCAACCAACGGTGATCATCATCTTATTAAAAAGGGGGGGGGGAACCACGCAATGTTGGCCCCAGATCAACAAAGCCCAGATTAATGTAGTAAACACCTGGTTGATTAATAGGAGGCCTCCCCCTTTCGTAGGGGCTAGTCACTTTTGAAATGGACGGGGAGTTAACATCATGTTTTTAGCTGAGGGATGGCCACCTTTCGTTGTTTGTTTCCCCTCCTTCTTTTTACGGGATTTCCCACCCTTTAAAGAGGTTTCCTTCATGTCACCCCTGGCTTCAAGCATTTGCTTCGATTTGTATTTCAGAATATTATTGTTTATTTCCCCTGTTGCTTTTAGTTAAAGGGAATCGATCACTACTGGACACATGTTGTTGTTTATTTCCAATCAACGGAAGGAACTTAAAAAGTAAAAAAACAAAAGTGATAAAAAAGGTGTTCACCCAAGAAGAGATTGCTCTGCAAAGGATGCCTTTTTGGGTTCCATGCTAATCTGCAGGAGAGTAAAGTGAGTTTTCCTTTGGGGTGATGTTTATAGGTTGGCAACATAGGGAGCGACACATGTGCCGTGGTCCTTAGCCGTCCTTCAAACGAGCGTTGGGACCCTACCAAGGATCCGGGTTTCCTTTAGCATCCAGTGAAAAAGGATGCATCCATTGTCCCATCACTGAATGAATCTTGGAAGATGCTTTCCCTAAGAGTGAATCCAAACGCCTTCGCCACTGCATCAACCCCCGCGTCTGGTTGCTTGGTGTCGTGACCCATTGGAATCAGTGGGCGACCTCATGGATTCGGATTTGTTCGACCGGAGGCCCGAGTCACTCGGTTCCTTTCCTGGGGTCAACTCATGTCGGGTGCGGGTTTTTGGGTTTTTCAACGTGTCAGTCTCCAGGTCCTTTTTTAGGACCTGGGAGGGCCTTTGGGGGGTTGAAGTGCGGGAAAAGGCATACAGTCTTTTTTCAGCCCACTTTTTTCTCCTCCAAGGCTCCCTTTGAAGCATAGTCAAGCCCCACCATTTGCTTAAGTTTGTGTTTCCCCCGTTGGTTTTTAAAAGGACTCTATCACTACTGGAAATATGTTTTTTTTTTGCTTTTTCAGGGGGGGAAAAGCAAATGGAAGAACATGGGTGCGATGTGTTTTTCTACCAGGGTCACTCAAGTGACCGGGCCAAGGCGGTGGCGCGACCCAGGCGCGAAGGATTGGGCGGCGCTCGCATCGCCAGGATGGTAGGAGCTTCGTGTTTACGAGGTGCGGGCAAGATTTCTTGCTTTCTGAGTCCAGGAATCCACCAACAACACCTTTAGTCACGTTTTTTGGGGAATACCGAGTTTTAGTGAGAAATCAAACCAAGCTTGGATACATGTTAAGACAATCGAGTCAGGAAGTGAGTTACTGGTAGTCTGTTGTATTTTTAGAGAGGACATGGGGGGCTCCTACCCAATATCGCCTAGTTTCTCACCGAAAATGCGGGGCCTACCCAATTAAGTCAACTGCATTGCAAATACAATATTGTCCATGGCTCGTATGGTTGTTGATGCTTACTTCTGGTCCTCTTCATGGTCAGGGCTGCAAGGAACATTGTTGCCTGCTCCATACCCCGAGTTTTAGTTCTCATGAGAAACCGCCAGAGGTGTTCAAAGCCCATCCATCAGACCCTTAACACATGATTTGGGTTTCTCAGGATGAACCAGGGTCCCTGTTTTCCGAACGAACGATATGGCAATTGTGCAATTAAATTGGCAAAGGAACAGGACGCCCATAGAAACCGCCCGTTTGCCATATCTCATTCCTCGCTCCAACTTGCTAGCTCAGGAATCAAGAGAGGTTTTGGGAATCAACAAGGGAATCCCCGATTTGAAGCAAATCACTGGAGATGGTTGACAGGTCATTTTGTTAACATGCTCCAAGTAAGGAGAAAACACACAGGGCTCATCCTTTGTTGGCTGAGAACCAGCAAGCCAATACATCATGAGATGTCAGGTCGCGATTTCCCAGAGCAGTTGCACCGTTGCCAGAACCTCAGGACACACGCGAATTGTGTTGGTTTTGCCTTGATGTCCTGATGGCAAAGCAACCGATGCACATGGGTGTCCTATTTTTGGTCAGGTTTGTTTGAACTGGTGTGTCAGGTTGGTTCGGATCAGGTAGTAGACCAACTATATGTCCAAAAAGGTGTCTGAGAATGTACGCCCAGTGAAGGAGAGGTCACTCTCAGATTGTTTGTTTGTGCGAGCTCAGAGTGGGATGGCTAGAGGGGAAATCAAGCCTTGGAGTGTTTTCCAAGGTCATGTGGACTGAGAAGTAGTTGTAGTGGGACCCGATCGTTTTCTTAGCTTTGACACCAGCCCATGGCTCTGGTCAAATGATAGCAACCTTGCCAAGCGGGTTTGACCGCTCATGATGGAGGCTTCTCCCGCTCCTTTTTTTTTGGGGGGGGGTGAAGATCCCATATCCCAGATTATTGACTTGTTATTTATTCGCACAGATTGATCATTCCGAGGCATGTCCACGCCGATGAAAGGGCCAGCGACTCAAGCGCCTGAGCATTGGCAAACGCAACGTCACTGGCAAGTGCTGCACGGATGCCCTCTACCTACAGAGCCCTTAGTTAGGTCCCCCAGTAGTGCCCCTTTACCTTTTTTTGGGGAGGGTTCCCCTACTAAAATAGACTATAGAAAAAAAAGGTACCCTTATTCTTAACCTCTCTACTGGAGGACCTAGTTAGCAATGGCAATGCTTCAATGACTACTGTCCTTCTCGTGCAGCCTGTCCGCTGCCATGATTGGACAGAGGGTAGCAATGATCAGCTTTCAATGGTTGGAACCCTTAGGTTGCGTTGCCAACGCGGCACCGACATTCGTGTCAACCCCAAAAGTGTTTCCTGTGACCAGACATGTCCATCGGAAGAGGCGGAACCCTTCGCAGACTTCCGGGAAAATGTCTCCATTTGCATCTCAGATGTGCTATTTCCCTGAAACCAGGGACATGTGTCTTTGTTTTCCCCAGGAGATGTATTCGCAAATGTACAGTCATTGGGCACATGAGCGCTTGATGGATTTCAAAGGTTGGATGCCGAAATAGGGCCAACACGGCTCCTTGGGTGTTTTTTTTTTTCCTGGGTCAATGTCAGGGATTGCCCCCAAAAAGAGGGGGGGGGGCTTGGACGGGAACTGGGAATTGAAGCCCTGGCTTTAGAGGGTCCAACCGCCCCAGAACACCATCCACCAATCCAAGCCACCCTTTGGAATCTGATGTGGTACCATCTGAGACATCAGATCTTTGCTCTTACCTGGCGGCTTCGTTGACCCTGTTTTGGGACCCTTTCTGCTTAGGAAAGCCGACATCCGGCCTCCCCCCCATTTTTGTTTGTTGGGGGGGAATTCCTATTTTGAAACTGGATGAACACATTAACGCCTTCATCCGAGTTATTGCTCCCTTTGGTAATGTTGATTCCGGATTAATAAACTCCTGGTCGATCTTGATCTGGGAGTGTCCCCTTTTAGTGGTTGGATTCGGACCACTCTTGCGTTTTGGAGGGGGGTTTCCCCAGTGCCCCTTGATTGGGACGGGTTCCGCTTGGATCCGGGGTCAACATGGTGAGCACCAACCCCAAAGTTTGTGCCACGCAACGGAAGCGCTTTGGATCGCTTGAGGCAGTCCAGAGAGGCCGGCTTCAGCTTCGCTTCGGCTTCGGTGTTGTTGTTTTTTTCGCTCGGGGCGCGGGTTGGCGCCGGTTTTTTGGCGCCTCGCCCCCAGCACCCCCCCCCCCATCCCCCATAGTAGCGGGGGGGTGGGGGGGGGGAGTTTGTTTTCTACTGGGTTTCCTCCATTTCCCTTTGTGGAAGTTGCGAAAGTGGTTCAATGGAAGCCAGTAGATTGCAACTTTTGAAGGGGACTGTTGGAGGTGCGCTGACATTTATCCTCAGTCAAAAGGCAGATGTAGTTCCTGCTTTTGAACGTGTCCTTTTGGCAGTTGCAAATGAAACCTCAGACGGGGGTCATCCCTGGCGGATTTTAGGTCATCTCGCACAATTTCGCACACGGATTTCGGGTCATCCCCCCCTCTTTTCGAGATTCCAAACTTATCAGGCTTGTTTCAAAGGGCAACCTGAGACAAACCCCACCAAAAAAGAAGCGTCCACATTTCTTGACTGCTATTGGGCTGGATCTTTAGACTTTAACTTTTTGGGAAATCAAGGGGTTTTCCACTAAACCCGCAAAAAGTTAACTTTTTGCAGGGGGGTCAACAGCAACCAAGATTTCATTTTGCGACACAGAAACCACCCGGCCGTCGGCTGCGCGGAGAGCTCTCCGCCTGCGCCAGGCTCGCCCTGGCAGCGCTGGCACCGTCTGGCGCTTGGATGCCCGCACAGAAGCGGGTGGTGGATGCCTGGCTCAGATTCAGTCCACCTAATGTCCAACAAAGGGTGTCCAATTGAAACTCACATGTGGTTCAAAACCAATGGTACCATCTTGGGATAGGTGCACCACCCATGTTACTCTATTTTAGTGGGAATTGGGATGTTCAATGTGTTCAATGGGGGTGCGGGGGTTCGACCCATGGCCATATGGGCGTCTTTTGTAGGGTGTTCCTTTTGGGTTTCCTTGTATTACACAAAGAAAGGGTCCCCGAAAAAGCCACACACATGGTCCTCTCAGACTGATCGGTTCCCTTTTGTCCCTTTGAGCGAACCCCACAAAGGCTACCCTCAAAAATGTCACATGAGTCACAATCAAAACCCGGGTAGATGAAGGTTAGCAAGGGGCAGTCCCAGCTGGAAATAGTTGCAGATATCCGCTTTTTCAATTCCTTACATGGTTCTGGGTTCACCATTTTGTACCAGGATTTGATTATGACTCACATGTCCCTTGGGAACTTGTGCAAGCGAGCCTCTGATCTTTGCCCGTCCTTTTGGCTCCGCGCTGCTTCGAGCGGCTGGCAACTGGCTTGCGAGAGCCGGCAGACCACGCCCATGATGAAATCGCGATCGCACAAAGGCGCTCGGTTCGCCACCAATTTCGCCCATGAAGGTTGCCTTCTTGTGAGGCTCATATGCTAGGTGCAGATCTTATTTTATAAGCTTCCCTAAACGTGTGATTTAATCAGCTGCGTTTAGGTTTTGCACATAGGTGGCCCAGCTTTGGTGAGTATTGCTCGTGCCAGGAAATCAACAAAGAGGTCTCAAAGTCATCCAAGATCCATTGAGTTTCGAGGTTTGCCGTGCAGACTGGTCCATGCTGCTTTCTTTGCCGAAAGGCACTTGGACAAGTGGTTCATTTGACGCCAGTAACTGACGCCAACCCACTTGGAAGGGTCCCCACAGTCGAAATGTTATCTCCAACATCGATGTTAACTTTGGGACGAGTGAGGCAAAGCAACATTTTTTGGCTTGCCAAAGTCAAGGCACCTGGTGCCATTGTCTGATTCGGCCATGGACGGATGGCCTGTATCCAGAAGCTTGGGCGCGATTGGTGGACCCCTTTTTCAAGGCGTCAACCAGCGAGCCCTTTCCGCTCATCATGGAAGCCACCAGGGGGTCCCTAAAAAGAGCTTCCAGGACCCAGTGGATAAGTGGATGGACGCAGAAACTCCAAAATGCAGTTTTAATTTTGCAGAAATGGAGGTCTATTGATGTTTGGTGCGGGAAAGTGGTTCTTGCGAACACTCCCCAAACTGAAATGATTTAGGGCCCACAAGCCCAAGCACTGCACATTCTCCATTTGGGGCAGTGCCCAAGGTTTTCCCTAGACCAGAATCTGAAACTTTTGATGTTTGTGTACCCCAGATTTGGGTGTGTCTTTTTTTAGGCCCCCCCCCCAAAAAGAAGGTGGGTTTTCCTTTTAGCTTGGCTTTGAAACCAACCAAACAGGAGGACCCTCGAAAAAACGACTCCGTTTCCAGCACTCTCCGACTACCGTCTAAATTCTATTTTTGGAACTACCGGGTATTTGGCAGTACTTCCGAAAAACAAATAAAAGACAAGATCCCCTATCTACGGTCGTTTCACGTTGTCCCAAACAGTAAAGGACCAGCCCACAGGGTGACACGGTGACACGGGGTGACACGCAGGCGACACGGGGCGACACAGGGTGACACGCAGGTGACACTGGGCGACACGGAGTGACACGCTAAAACTACTGTTGTTCGCAGCGATCTACTGTTGTTCTAGCATACTGACACGGGGGCGACACGGGGGCGACATGGGGTGACACGCAGGCGACACGGGGGCGACACGGGGTGACACGCAGGTGACACGGGGTGACACGCTGTGAGGCGCTTGCTGCACTTGCTGCCACCCCTTGATTGCTACCACCCCTGCTATGGCATCTCTCCGTTGTAAGCAGTGGCTAGCAGTAGTTAGGCTATGGGCATCTCGCAAATAATACAATTGACAGTAGTTTTTCTAACTACGGTTGTTTTTGGGAAATTTCTATCTACCATCCCCTGGGCAGCAGTCGGAGGGTGCTGGTTGGGCCAAGCTTTTCAGGGTTTGCCCTTTGACATTTCACGGGAGGGTCCCCTTGCTGAAGCTCGCGATAAGTGCGATTCGATTCCGCGAATCGACCAGAAGTGGCCGAGATGTTTTTGTTTTCCAATTGTCCCATGATAGTTTGTCTCTTTTTGAGGATTTTTTTTTTTCGGAGTGGTTTTCAAGGGAAATTTTGAGACGCACACATGATGCTGAATGTTTGGGGGCAAACGACAAGTTCGCAGCACTTTTAAGGTTTCGCTGTCAGAGATCCAAAGGAATGTCCAAAGCTATGGCAATGGTCAGACACTGTGAACAGTCTTCCTCCTCCTCCTCCTCCTCCTCCTGCTCATCATCATTATCATCATCATCATCATCATCATCATCATCATCATCATTGTCATCAGCATCATCATCATCATCATCATCATCATCATCATCCTCATCCTCATCCTCATCCTCATCATCATCATCATCATCATCATCATCGGAAGACATGGGGAACTCTGAATGTACCACCGAAATCAGGGGTACTCACTAGCTTTCTCACGCAGGGTGTTGTACCCCCTGAGACAGGTTTATTGGGCGATTGTCCCTACTCAAACCTGGGCCAAAAGGATGGTCACCATCAACATGTGAAAATTCGCTAAATACGAAATGTGGACCCTGGATCAATGGCCCCTCTTCGGTGGACAATTGTTTCTTGATGCCCTTGAGCAACCGACTTTCGACGATGGTTTGTGTGTTGACTCCTGCTTGGTGCGTACCTGGACCATCAAAGGCGGAACGGCAGAAGGCGTTGGTACACAGTGTTCCAGGATTCAAGTCAAGTTGGCCTCTAATGTTTGCGATTCATGCTTTTTGGGCCAAGGGACTTTATGCATCGTTATAGCAGAACGGAGGCTACTTTCCGGTATGACACCGGTCTTCCAAAAGGGACTGATAATCTATGTTTGCAGGACGTGTCTTAAATGGCGTCCACTGCTAATAAGCTAAACTTCAGAGGATGTAGTTGTATGAGCTTCTTGGGAGGAACATCTTGCACCCAGCCCTTGTGCACTGGCTGGCACTTGTATCCCCTTCTTGTTTGCTTCTATTCGCTTAAGAACATGTTTGTATTTTCCCCTGTTGGTTTTAAGGGCAATCTTTCACTACTGGAAACTTGTTCTCATTTTTACGGGGGACACACAAGCAAATGGAAGTCTACTTGTAGGTTCCTCCTTTTTCGTTGGGAAGGGGAAGCGGCTTCCATTTGCGGCAAACGTCTGAGGACGACGCTTTGCTGCTGGGCGGAGCTCTTGCAACGCAGACACATCCCGGGCTCAGGGATCCTCTTGCAGGGTTCCCTATAGTTTTATTTTGCAAGTTTTGAACGTCACCGGAGCCAAAGTAAAAACCGATTAGATGAAGGTGAGTACGGGACAATCCCAACCATAGATGGGTGCAGTTGCCGGTTCAATTCTTTACCTAGTTTTGGGTAGATCATTTCAATGCCGGGTTTTGATTATGACTGACCTTGTGGCCAATTCAATTTGAGTTTCCTTTTGGTTCGATGTTTAAAGGTGGACATAGACGGGAGCCGTCTTGACATGGTTGGAAGCATGCTGAAGCAACTTGGAATCAAGACGAGATCAGGGTCGGTATAAGAGAGTTGTTTGGGATCCTTTGCTGCGAGTTAGACTCTCGGAAGGGCTTGTATCACGGAACTGGGTAGCTCGTCTTGTTTTGATGTTACCCTTGTTGGGTTTGCTTTAAAGGAAAACCACAAGGAAAGGTGCACAATGTTGGGTCCCCTAAACAAAAGAGGACAACGTGGGCAATTCCCGCAACCCGGTTTTTTGAAAGGGCTTTGAGTCAAAATCGAGGACCACAAGAGCGGCACACCTGTTTCTGTCACTGGGGAACTTAGCCATGAGGCTGTGAACGCGATGTGCATAGGGGAAGGGGGAATCGCTGCGGGTTGAAAGATGGCCGCAACTTCTTTGTTTCTGCCTAAGGCTTGTTAACACAGGGGATGCGTTGGGGGACCCTGTTTTGTAACGCAGCTTGAAAGAAAGAATTGCAGGGTTCAATTAGAACAAAGCTCGAGTAGGTGTGCGGCTCAAACCCGGCCCCACTTACTTACCTGGAGGTGTTAGCTTTTGTGTGCACTTCATGAACCCAAAGAGGCTCTCAGCAATATGGCTGCCCACTACATGCCACAGTCACAACAGTGCGTTGTGTGTTGCGTGTGTGTGTGTGTGTGTACTTGCCCCGGATTCACATACCTGGAGAATCAACAGGGAGCTGTCTCCCCAAAAGTGAGCGGCTTCCTTTGAAATGGGACGCGCCAGTCGATTTAGGCGTTTATTAATCTGCACTTGTTCATGGCGAGCGCACGTTGTTGCAGCACTAGCAATTTGAGGCATCGGTTTGCACGCAGCCATGTCGTCGTCCTTATCAAATCATGTCATGCTTGCTTTGTTTGACAAAGGATGCAAGCCACTTGGTCTCCTGGTTTACTTCTTAGACACCACCCCAATGGTGTCCTTCATTTGCATAGGAAACGGCGTTTGGCGTAGTGAGGCACAAGCCTTCCGGCCATCTGACTTCTGAGCGAGTGTTTTGTTTGGACTAGCTAGATTTTGTTTCGTTGTCGGTGTTTTCCTTTGAACCAAACACAGCGTTGTTGCGTTGTTCTGGGTGGAACTTCCAAGGTTTCTGCTGTGATCACTGCCGGACCTCGCGCACTTGTGTTTGGATGTCCTTCATTTGGCCCTTCGACCAGCGAAGAGATCGATCTTTGCAGGGAGTCCCAGTGCTGAGGCGGCAAGAGGACCCTTTATTTTTTTCAGTTGCCCCCAATTCCGTTGATCGGACCTTGAGGGGTGTTCTTTCC